CCGCCACTGCAAACGATGGAGCTATCACAACGATGAAGATGACGCAAACCGACCCAGCTCTCCGAAAAAGTGTTTCAAGACGAACATGGCGGCAACTTAACCGCGGTCCAAGATGACAATGGCCAACGGGAGAAAGGATTCTAAGCGTTCCGCCCAGGTACCGGACAGAGTGCGTGCATCGACAGGGCTCTCTGCTCTCCTTTAAGTCAATCTGCAAACCGAACGGCGACACACGCGCAGCATCAGTACCGAGAGGCTCGCAACAGCTGGTCTCGCTGTGTCCCCTAAAAGACAACACACCCGGGGAGGGACGGTAGGGAGAGGGGGGCATGCGGTCAAAGAGGACGCCGTTTCCCCCCGGAGAGCCATGGAGAACCGGGATGCGGCAGCGCGAAGCTTAATCTGTGCGGGCGCGCTAATTGGATCGGAATAGCACCGATTGCTGCGGGCGCGATAGAGGAGCGCCCTGGACCGGCAGAGGCACGGTACCCCACCGCTACAGAGGAGAACCAACCGGAGTCCGTCTCCCCCAAGTCAATGAGTATTGTGGCAGAGCAGCCCCCGCGGTGGAGTCGGCCAGGGCAGCACTTTCCTAAAATATGACCAGGGGTGCTTGGATGCGTCGGCAGCATGATGAGGGCTTAAAATACTGGTTTGCACCCCGAGAGAACGAGAAGCCATTTACCGAGTCGGAGCGGGCCCAGAGATGGCGACTGTCGCTGGCCTCTCTGCTCTTCATCACCGTCCTGCTCTCTGATCACTTGTGGTTCTGCGCCGAGGCGAAACTCACGCGAACCCGAGACAAGCGGTCGGAAGAGGGGCTTGCAATTACGGACATGGGCGAGTACCCAAACTCCCTCCACCGACACCATATCCCAACATCACCTGACCCCGACCGTCTCGCCAGAGAGCAAGATGTTATTTTTCTAGGGAATTCTACCAAACCTCTGTGGCGAATGGACACCTGTCATCCAGACAGCTGGTCCAAAGAGTGCTTTACTTTCACGGACGCGGAGACCGTGTGCCTGGGCCTCTCCGTTGGAGGGGAAAAGGGGACACAGTTTTCGAATGTGAATCTGAGCGATTTGTACCTTTCTTTTTGTAATTCCTACTCACTTTTGGATTTGTTTCACGGGTTTACGAGTCCAGACGATTTGAATTGCTCCTTGGATATGGGGCAGGATGTGCTGGGATGCAGCAAGTGTGTCCGGGCTTATCAGCTTCTTGACCAGCAAGCAGAGGAGAACTACCGGGAGTTTGAGCTGCTGGTTGAGAAATACGAGACGGATGCATACTCTGTCAGGACGTGCATGGAGGAATGCAAGGTAGGTCGAGGCCACACACACACACACACACACACACACACACACACACACACACACACACACACACACACACACACACACACACACACACACACACACACTCATATCACACATACACCAAACATCACACAAACACCACATCTAGGGGGGCTGGTTCGCAGTCGCCATGGAAACCGTTGGGTATATCTGTCAGTATGTTGCCATTAGTTTTTTAGAGATCTACCAGTAGGCTACCTACCAGTGTCTTTCCTGCATCATTTGGCATGTGAGTGTCAGGCTAAATGACAGCAACACTTGCACCACATGACAATGGTATGGAGGCTAGAGGACAGAGCAGCAGAATCTGAATCTTATAATTGTTTTTCTTTCTCGGAATGAGTTACATTTTCTAGAACACTTTATAAAATGTGCCAGTGGAAGTGACGTTTGACATTTTGAGCAAGGGCTTGCACCACAGCTCTTTGAGATGAGGAGAGAGAGGGCTGTTGAGTGGTGCTCATTTCAATATCGTTAATAGCACACGAGTGATTTCTGCACATAATCCAGGCTTTGTATTGTCCCCAGTTTGCTTGTTGATTCAATAACATGGCAGCCTTAGATAGCACATATCTCAGGCTGTGGAGTACATGTTGAGCATGACCACAACAAATCCAGGTCTACATCATCGACAGACTAACACTTGTATGTGTGTAGCTCAAAGCATCAAGGCTCAGCAGTGTTAAACAAAGAAAATGTACCTGTAGATAGTGACATGGCGGGGATACACTGGTTGAATTACTCTTCAATCTGCTTCATTTGTTGTGCACTGGACTGTTGCAGAGGCTGTTTTCTTCAGAGACAGCTGCACATCCCTCTGTGACCACTGTCCATGGTGCTGAAAGAAGGCCCAGGAAAAGGCCTTTTAGGAGGACTTGCATGTTTCTTTAGCTGTGGACTTACATATGAACTATGTCCATTGTTTCAATTAGTCTGTCATGTCAGTAAAGTAGGGTTATACAGTATTGTGTACTTTGCTGGACAGAGACCATGACCAACCTAATGTATTGAACAGAGCAACCACTTTTGTCATGAGTTTGTGTATGGTGTGTGAACCTCTCATAATCAATAAAAAGTATGGAATGCGATAATGGTAATACTTTAGTTTGGCCTGGCAAGGACACAAGATGATGTTAGTCTAGCTTGTGCTGCTCCTGCTGTAACATGCATGCTTATACTGCAAGTACTGTGTATACTGTGTAGTTGTATTTACGCTTGGCAGATCAACTTTACAGCTGTACTGTAAAATACAGGTTTGTTTGATACTTAGCATAACCACTTTTCTTGTCCTTAACATTAAGGTTTTCTATTATCATAATGACAGCTGTTATACAAAAGGTCAAAAAGCCAGGGATGCTGCAATATCACCACAAGAGCACTATAACAGGTCAAGGGACGCACCTAGGCAAGCAGGAAATCTTCCATTTAAAACTGCCCTCATAATGATCCTGCAACCCAAACCCATTTTTACAAGATGGATGTTGTACAAGGGCAGATGGTCAGGGTGCTGGGCTGTGAGTGCTGGTAATCCGTGTGTGTGTGTGTGTGTGTGTGTGTGTGTGTGTGTGTGTGTGTGTGTGTGTGTGTGTGTGTGTGTGTGTGTGTGTGTGTGTGTGTGTGTGTGTGTGTGTGTGAGGAAGGCCAGTTAGTGGGAGGATATACTGAGGATAAACCTTCACAATGGAATCATGTGCTGCTTGTATGTTCGATAATTGTGAGTCATAGCTTATTGTTAGGCATGTGTGCATGCATAATATGTATGTGCTATGTGTATGTGCATGAATATTTTTCCCATGCACGTATATACACACTTTCCTCTTATGCTAGCTAATCACTAGTGTGCATTTGCACTCCTACTCTTTGCTAATATAATCAGACTCAGGCAGGGCTACAGCAGCATTTTAGCCCCTTTAGCTCAATCTGAATTGCTAATCTGCTCCAGTGTTCCTGTGACCTTTGTGAGAGAACAGCACCCCAGGCCTGCATCACACAACCCTGCTCCTTTAAGACCGACTCTGCTGGACAATAAAAAAGACAGTAGAAAGCTTGAAACAATAACTATTGCTATTCACTCTTTACTGTCTTATTTCTCTCATCTCAGACCTCTCCACTTCCTCATTCACATTTTAAACATCCTCCGAAGGCTTCTTCCAAATGGTTTATATTGATTGAAACTGTGTCATCACATTGTTTATGAATGCTGTGGATGTGTTTTTGCAATGTCTAAAAAGTTAAAAGAAAAGGAAGATAGAGAAGCAGTGAGATGAAAAAGATGTGAAGGAATAACTGAAAATATCTTCAAATGCGAAGTAGGTGTCACAGAATTAACGTTGCATTGAAAACTGTTAGGGCAAAAATATCCGCAGATATTGTCTAGAGTTGTTCCAATACCATTACAAGTATCCTTGATGCTTCTGATCAAGTCTAAAATGCTTGATATGCTATTGGCAAGTATTCACGTCTATGAACCAATTTGGTACAAGCTTATTATATCATTTAGCAGCTAAAGTATATGCCGAAAAAACAACACATGTCAATGACTGTTTTGATCTCCGCATGCACGGTACAGATTGGGCAGATGCTAGTCCTGTGTAACATACAGCTCCATTGTTTCCCCAAAAACTATTCGAAACACACCAGTGAGCCACGCGGTTGCGCTGGGTGACATGTTTCTCCACTTCAATGAAAATTGGCACAGTACATGTAGATAGAGTCAATCCACATTCCCCATCCTGCTGTTGTGAATAGTGCTTCAAACGTGTATTAATCCGTGGCTGAAAATAGTCCCCAACAGATGCACGATTTACTTTTGTATTAATAAGAGCTTCAGTGGCCTGATGTTTTAGGAAATGACTTAACCTTTAAACCTTCAACCCTGTAGCTGAGGGCCTAAACGTGTTTCTAAAGAGCACGCCAACTTAGCTAATTTATCAGCCACAGACCTTTTCCACCACTTTTCTGTTAACTTGAAATCTAAACAAGATAATTTGATAGGCTTTCCAACCAAATTGATTTCGACACAGAAGGAAAAGCACAGGTTTCAACAAATACATCCCATTTAGCTTCTCCGGTTTCTACGTCCTGACATCGTAAATGCTGTCTCACTGTCCCACTATCATGACTTACTGCGTCACTTGAATAACACAGAGTCATTTTTTATATATATATAACACCTGTTATTTTACTGCTATGACAAGTAAAACTGTCTGATGTGAAGTGGAGTCATGTATGCAGATAGTTGGGTGTAGTCACCGTGTATCGAATGATTGTTATGATGTATCCTTTTTTCTCCTACCTGTCATTTTCTTTCTTTACTCTTACCTTCTTGTGTTCCTTACACCTTTTGATTTCTGTATGTACCTGTTTATATCACACACACACACACACACACACACACACACACACACACACACACACACACACACACACACACACACACACACACACACACACACACACACACACACACACACACACACTCAGTCCCATGTGCCGTGTTTCCTGCAGGTCCAGACCTGACTGTCCCTTCCGGTGTAATTTAATTTGCACTCCCATCATTCTCTGCTTCTCTGGTGGCTGTGTCTCCAGGGCTCCGTCTCAACATGTTGATCTCCTTTATCCATCTTTCTGTCATTGTCTCTCTCTTTCTTTCACATCATTCCCTCTTTGTCTTCCTCCCATCTGTGTCAAAGCTCCAAGGACCATCATCACACATCACACATGTCCAGCTTCAGCCTCTACGTCACCTCCACCCCTCTTGCCCTCGTCCTTACAGAACAGACTAACATCCTGTAAGAGCCCTCTGTTTCTATCCCCCTCTCTCTTCAGAATGATGTGGCCGTTGAGCTCTCTTTTTCTGCTTGGGTGAAAGATACTTATCTAGGTTCAGGTCCTTTCCTTCCCATGAATTACAGGTCTGTCCACACGAAACCCACTGTGTGTTCCCTCACTCAGCCTCAATTGCCCTCCATTTATTCAACACATTTCTTTCTATTTCTACAAGCCTTTTCAGTTCCTGTTTAATTTGTTTACACTTACTCTACGGTAAGGACAGGCTGATTATGTTCTCCATTTAATAAAATAAAATAGCAAAAGGTAAATGAAAGTGTATAAACAACCTTAAATAGATAGTCGTTGTAATAGTTCACAGTCATGTTAGCGTGTTTGTGAGGGCGAACTGAGACACAGATGGACTAAATATGAATATCAGCAATGACAGGTTTTTATTTAGTGATGCTTTTGGCCATGTTAGCAATTTTGAATATGATGGGAATATCATTGCTTTTGCTATTTAATCATAAGACAAAGATTGTGACAAATAGAACTGTTGACTTGATGATCCTCTAGATAAAAAAAGTATTATAATTCACTTAACTTATTATAATTCGTCTGAAGGAGACATGAATGTTTATCAATTTCTACAGCAGTTTCTTTAAAAATAGGATATTGAAAGTGATGGGATTGAAACTGTAAAGCTGTTTTGCTCTTGCTCACCCCGAGGTAATGCATAGAGCCTTGCACTGAAAACAGTTTTCTTTCTATGATTACCTCACTAGCTGGCCTGTGGCAGACTGCTGTTATCTCACGTGTTGCGCTTCGAAAGGTCAGTGGCTATCGAGGTCAAAGTTTAAATAATTTAACTTTAAGCACAGCGCTCTGTGACAATTTTGAGTGGTGTGCAATGCCCAGAATTGTGCTTCCGCCTAGTCGGGCTGCACGGCTCTCTCCATAGAAACCCTGCGACACAGTCAGTAGTGTTTCCACTGATCATGTGAAGGCAGCTTTAGTAACATGTTCTGGGACTCACAATCATATTACATTACATAACAGATTGACATTGTCCGAATGTATATTTATATGTATTGCAGATGTTTAATCTATTTCTGAGCCGTTATCCATGTTGGCGTAAAAGTTAATATTGTGGGATCCAATTGCATTTCCAGACCAGTTACTAAAGAAGTGAA